GCCTTGCTCACTCCTTGGCAAGGTGATCCTCCATCTGCTCGATGGCACGGCCGTTCCTGTTCTTCGAAAACTTGATCTTGACGACATCGTTATACCGGCAGAGCAGATTGAAGAGCTTCTCGGTGTTCATCTTGTTGGACCAGCGATCGGCGCCCCGGTTGGCATTGCGGGGGAAGGACTTTAAACGGCTTTCACCCTGCCGTAGTCTCGATCCAGCCGGCCGGGCATGTAGCCGGGGGTCCGAACCATCGAGTGGTCTCCCGCGCTCCCATTGCCCGAAGGCGTAGGAGTCCAGCGCACGGGGGGGACAGACCGCGCCATCCAGGGTTTGGCGCTGAGTCGGACCTCTTCTGGGTCCGGGAGCTCGCCAGGCACAGGACGGCTCAAGAGCTTCTTCAGGCGGTGGCGGGGGCCGATACTGCAGCTCGGCCAGGAGCGTCTCTTGTATGCCGTGAGCGTCCCGGGCCAGTTGCTCCAGGGTGGAATACGTGCGGCCATGCAGGTAGGGCCGGAATCTTGGGTGGCTCTGCTGCATCACCCGAGCAACCCTGTCCGACTCCGACGTCGTTGGGCAGGCTCTGTCATAGAGCTCCTGCATCACCCGTACATATTCGACGAGGGTCTCGTCCGGGTGCTGGGTCCGGCGCTCCAGTTCTCGCTGGACTCGAGACTGGTACCCAGGTGGAAGAAATTCATCTTGAAACTTCCGCCGAAAGTCTTCCCAGGTGAGGAAGGGGGCCACGATGCGCCACCAGCGCGCGGCGCTAGCCTGGAACGCCACGGGCAGAACCCGCGCAAGGACGTACTCGTCCGAGGCTCCCGTGGCGAGCTTATAGGCCGCCAGCTCGGCCAGGAAGTCGGCCACGGACTTCCGGTCGTCGTAGCCGGTGTACAACGGGACCGGCACTTGGGGTCGTGGCCCTTGCCCTTGGGGTCCGTGGTCAGCCAGGACCAGGCGTTGCGCGACCGTGTCGCACAGGTTGGCCACCCGAGCCATCAGGTCCATGGACGTCGGGTCAGGCCCCTCTCCGGTCTCGCCTTGGTCTGCGGCGGCTCTATGGCGGGTCTGCATCGCAGTAGCAACCGCAAAAAAACAGCCAAACAGAAAAACAGAACAAAACGAAACACAAAAGAACGGAAAAACACGCAATATACTACAATATCCACACTATTCACAACGGCCAAGCCCCGACGGCAAAGATGGCGTCCGGTGGCCGAAGCCTAGTCGAACGACCACGTAGGCCTATCGGGTATGACAACGCGAGAAAAACCAGGCTAACACGCCTAAAACGGGCTAAAAGCCTGTTCTTTTGCCCAATGATGGGCCGCAAATCCCACAACGTTCAGAAATCTTTGTTCAGGCGTCCACCCAGTGTTCCGGGCCACTCGCTTATCTACGAGCATTTGATCGTCGAAAACTTTACTATTGAGCTTCAATAGCTCCCAACAAAGTGCTTCTTTTCTTCATGGCTCTACCAAGGGTGAATGACACCAAATAATGATAACAAAAAATGAAAAACATTTACAATTCTTTCTAATGCGAAATTGGAGCGCAGCTCTTGAGGAGGAGAAGGAAGGTGGGAGAAGGAAGGCATTCTCCTCCTCCCCCTCCTCACCCTCCCCTATTCCTCACCTCCCATTTAGCAGGAAATTTAGCAAAAATTTCCACACTAGGTTAAGCAAGTTAAGTTTTCGCTTAATTTGGCGGGGAAATGAACGTCATGGGACCTCAACACCAATTCAATTTTCCCTCTAAATTTAGTGGGGAGAGTGAATTGGTGTTGACGTCACGTGACGTCAATTTCACCGCTAAATTTAGCGGGGAAATTGACGTCACGTAACCTCAACTCCAATTCAGTTTCCCCGCTAAATTAAGCGGGGAAACTGTGACGTCCCATAATGTTACGCGCGCGGTTACGCCGACGCCGCTCCACCCGGAAACGGGCGCCTAAGAGCTGCGCTCTAAAACGGCCGTGACACAGTAGCCAGAACATAGAGGAATCACCTCTAAAAAACATACCTATCCAAATGGGCGTGACTAAGAAAATAAGTGATACGAACGTTCAAGGCTTTCACGACGTCTTCCGGCCCATACTCATTAGCAATTTATTTAAAATGCTGGTTCCCGCGTCTCTCAATGGCGGTACACTGGTTTTATCCCGCACGGAACACAGACAGTTGAGATCTCCAAGGCCTATAATCGTACGATCGCTGTCAAAGTAAGACCGAATATTATTGGAAACAAATTTCCGCCTTTTAGCATTGTGACGCGCCTATAGACATTAATAATACGCCATACTAGCCTTAAAGGAGCTGTGCAACAATTTCAGGGCCTTGCTTAAATAATTGTGGAAGTTGATGCCTAACACTTCTGAAGTGAGCTACCGAAAACAGATTGTACCTGAATACCTTAGTTTTTATCTTAAAAAATGAAAAAGATCCAGGTTTTTGCCGCCTCTCAACTCGTACGTCGTCTTCCGGGTCACGTGCGCAGTGACGTTGATGGGGTAGGCGCGGGGTTCCGGAAAAGTTCTCTCTTTAGAGCCATCAGTGAGCAGCGAGAACTCATCCGCTCGCTACCGCGTGACCACGTGCTGGCGGGCGCCGCGCGAACAATATGGTGAAAGGAGGAAAGTCTCATCCGGGTCCGGCCATACCCGTGCGGCCCTGTCCCCCTCCCCCTCCGGCTTCTGGCGGCTGTTCGCGGTAGAAGATAGAGCTGACGGTTTTGTGGACCTAGGATAGATGGCGCCACTAAAACTCCGTATAATAAAAGTTTGTCGATGATACCAGGTTTTTGACACATTTATATATGGGTGATTTCATCTCAACTCAGGCACGGATTTAGGGTCGAATTTTTAATTTTGACGAAAAAAATATATGTTTTGGGGCAATTCCTATAATAAAAGAAGACGCAAACGGTTATTTCGTCGGATTTTTTGTTCTCCCGTTATGGACCGTTGAAGCGGTCAAGGTGGAAATTGATGTTTTTTGCAGCTTATCGGAGGTGCCATATTTCACTAAATCCCGTTCCCTACTTTTTACGCTACATCAATATAACTTTTTGGGAACACTATAGACATAGGCTTTTTCATGCTAATTAAGCGTCTAGGTCATAACATTCTTAATGATTTTTTTTTATTTGTCAAACCGCCTCTCTGTGACGATATTTGACGAAGTTCAGCAAGCTGCGCTGTGTGACCTAATCAACATATTTTTATGATCTTTATATCACCGTAAAGCACCAATTATGCTCTTTCTTTTGAGTATAATTTCAATATTTTGCCACAAGTATATAATGCTCTACATGTGCCGGAAAAACGAATATTTCGAAAAACTAGCAAGTTTGAAGTCATTTTCTTAAAAAAACCCAATTTTTTTTTTTCATTTTTTATTTACAGTTAGTTAATATAGTAGTCTATCAGGAACTACCGACAGAAATTGTAATATATTGTTTGTATGGCCGCTATTAAGACTCGAATCTCGTGCTATGAGCGTTTTGAACGGGACTTCGCACAGGCGCTTTGCTGAGCAGAATTTCGGCCAATGTAAAGTTTTCTATTTAATGTTAGTACTTACCACAATATCTGAGCGTAAAAGCAAGTGAAGTAACAATATTTATCCTTACAACATTTATTTACTTGGCACTGGGGTGATTTGAAAGGTGTGTGAGCTTCGCCTTATGTATTGACGGAGAAGTACGTAACATCTAAACTCACGGACAAACTTCAGTCACGAGGGAAACCTCTAAGTAACCTGGCATGAATCACTGCAAATAGAAATGAAACCTAAACACATGACTAACGCATTTGAAGCCTTACACGCCACGAAATGCTCGTCCTTACACGCCACGAAATGCTCGTTATTTTACGAAAGAGGCCGTATGTGCACAAAATAGACCGTACTTCCTAAGCGTCAAATACTAAATCGCACATATGTATATGCACTGCATATCTGTTTGACATAAGAAAATATGACAATTACATATAAAGTTCGGAATTTTAAACTAAAGATGCGACACGTAACCAGAGAAGCGAAGTAATATTTCATGTTGTAGCCTAAACATGTTCATTTCATAAAATATATCAAAATCTGTTGACCAAATGTCTCATATACTCCTAATTAACATAAAATACACTCAAAGTTAATACAAATATAAACTTTAAAACGAATTGAACACCACTAAATTCCGTCTGGTTTACGGATAGACGACGCAGTACCTTTTCAATACTACACGGCGCTGCTCACACAAAAAGAGTGATAAACACCTGGGATAGGGATAGTCATCATTCGACGTAGCACATTTCGAGACAATAGGTTGATGCGATTCTGAGCCAGTTTTCGCTTTGTTCAAATCGCAGTCAGTTCAGCGTCAAAGTCTATGGCGCGTCGTCTGATCACACAGCGCGCACTCACAGGGGGGCAAGGATGAACGCACTGTTGAAACAGTCCGGCCTTTTCACGGTCCCACCATTTAGCTCTGTCTATTTTGGGGTTTGGTAAACTCTTTCTAGGACCACATCACCTCCCCCTTCTCTCATTGCTTTGCTCCACACATGAGAAGATTGGATGCCTTTCGATGGGGTTACCTTCTCCCACCCCTTGCTTTTAAGCTCCCAATAACGGGACAGCTCCTCTTGGTCGATGAAGAGAAGCGTTATCCCCTTGGTTTTCTGGCCGAGAGCTTCAACGAAGGAACGCGCGTTAGTTATGGAGCTCAGCTCAGTTGTTTTCAAGTTATGCAGTGACGCATGATGCTTCAGCACACCACCCACTCCATCGCTTCTGCCGTGCCCTGACGCCGAGTATACCCACCTGCTGACAACAAACTTCTGAAATTCGTGTAATTGGTGCCGATTTTTGAAATGGCTTGGAGCGCCGTCCGAAACATAGATTAGCTTAAAAAAAAACGGGCAAAAGTTCCTCGAGCCTGTCTTCAATCATTGTGAGCGCAAATAGCGCGTGTGCAGAATCATGAGGGGCACGACACCGAGCTGAGAATGCCGTACTCAACTCACTTCGTATCACAGGTGGCAGGTGCCTTCATCATCTCGCTGGTGCTTGGATTACCGGCTGCTCCCAACATCAGCCCACCGCAAGGTGGATGCAAAGCCAGCGTCTACACTCCGCAGATCATCCAGCCTTCCGTGGCCTTCTCGACTTCGCCGTCAACAACGGAAACAATCCCGCCCTTCGGTTGGCAACACAGTCCACATCACGTGCAGTTTGGCGCGAAGAGGGGCGTACCTGGAGTACTACAAAAGCACGGCCGCGACCACCGGCACTTTGGGCACGACACCGAGCTGAGAATGCCGTACTCAACTCACTTCGTATCACAGGTGGCAGGTGCCTTCATCATCTCGCTGGTGCTTGGATTACCGGCTGCTCCCAACATCAGCCCACCGCAAGGTGGATGCAAAGCCAGCGTCTACACTCCGCAGATCATCCAGCCTTCCGTGGCCTTCTCGACTTCGCCGTCAACAACGGAAGCAATCCCGCCCTTCGGTTGGCAACACAGTCCACATCACGTGCAGTTTGGCGCGAAGAGGGGCGTACCTGGAGTACTACAAAAGCACGGCCGCGACCACCGGCACTTTGGGCACGACACCGAGCTGAGAATGCCGTACTCAACTCACTTCGTATCACAGGTGGCAGGTGCCTTCATCATCTCGCTGGTGCTTGGATTACCGGCTGCTCCCAACATCAGCCCACCGCAAGGTGGATGCAAAGCCAGCGTCTACACTCCGCAGATCATCCAGCCTTCCGTGGCCTTCTCGACTTCGCCGTCAACAACGGAAGCAATCCCGCCCTTCGGTTGGCAACACAGTCCACATCACGTGCAGTTTGGCGCGAAGAGGGGCGTACCTGGAGTACTACAAAAGCACGGCCGCGACCACCGGCACTTTGGGCACGACACCGAGCTGAGAATGCCGTACTCAACTCACTTCGTATCACAGGTGGCAGGTGCCTTCATCATCTCGCTGGTGCTCGGATTACCGGCTGCTCCCAACATCAGCCCACCGCAAGGTGGATGCAAAGCCAGCGTCTACACTCCGCAGATCATCCAGCGTTCCGTGGCCTTCTCGACTTCGCCGTCAACAACGGAAGCAATCCCGCCCTTCGGTTGACAACACAGTCCACATCACGTGCAGTTTGGCGCGAAGAGGGGCGTACCTGGAGTACTACAAAAGCACGGCAGCGACCACCGGCACTTTGGGCACGACACCGAGCTGAGAATGCCGTACTTAACTCACTTCGTATCACAGGTCTGTTACTCATCTTCTTATCATGACAATAATGTGTTTGTCATTGCGGTGTCGTGCCCTCGACAAGTGTATGAGCGTGTCTGCCTTGTTCGGAATAGTGTCGTGGGTTATTTGAAGAAACTTTTATTGTTGTGCGGTGACGTAGAAACAAATCCGGGCCCTGTTTCTGATTCCAGTGCAAATACGGATCTAATCTTGCCTATGCACACCAAACTGAACGCAGGACAACAAACGATACTGAATGAAATTAAGTCCCTACAGCAAAGGCAGGATCAGACAGACGAAGCGTTGGGTGCTCTTAAAGCTCAAATACAAGAAATTAAGCAGGAGTGTGCTGGCTTAAAAGAGGTCAAAGAAGAGGTTGTGAAGGTTTTAGCCAGAACTGAGGAAAACTCTGCTAGCCTAGACTTGCTAACACAAAGATGCGAGTACCTCGAAAACCAGTCGAGAAGCAATAACCTTTTGCTCTACAATATCCCCGATGTCCCCCGGTGAATCCTGGAAACAATCGGAAGAGAAAGCTATTAACTTCTGTGAAACCAGGCTGGGTGTCTGTCTTTCACCCCAAGCTATAGAACGCGCGCACAGAATAGGGCCCTACCGCGGAAATGAAGCAAACCCCCGTCCGGTCATCATCAAATTTAATTCTTACAAAGATAGAGAACTAATACTATCAAAAGCGCCGGCACTCAAGGGAACAATATTCCGCCTTAGCGAAGACTTATCACCAGACACTCGTGCAGCTAGAAAAGCGCTGATACCATTTGCGAAAAACCAGGGGAGTGAATTTAAGCTGCGTCACGATAAGCTTTTTATCGGAAGAAGTCAATACAGGTTCGACAAACTTTCAAACACTGTCCTGCTTACTCAGACATAACAACCAACCAATAGGCATATTAATACAAATCGCTCTACGTCCATCTCATTCCTAGTAGCAAACGCAAGGAGCATTTATCGTAAACAAGATGATTTATATTCTCTTATGCATTCATGTTCTGCTGACGTTGTTGTACTAACTGAATCATGGTTAAACTCCGAGATACCGAATTCTGAGCTAAGCGCGCTGGCCTCTTACTACATAATCAGGAACGACAGGCAGGGAAAGAAGGGTGGGGGAGTACTTATTGCTGTGATAAATTCATTAAATGTCCTTCAGTCTGGCATTGCCCCTAATATTGAAGTTGTTTGGGTTCGAATAAGTAGTCCTACTGCTCATCTTCTTGTGGTAGCTTGTTATAAACCACCAGGAGCTACTAACTTCCCATCCTTACTAAACGACCATTTAGAAACCTTAGTTAACCAATTCTCAATGGATACAATCGTACTAGCTGGCGACTTCAACTACCCGGACATCGAGTGGCCTACAGTACCGGCATACGGAACACCTTTTTACGGGTCGTCTTTGTCCACTTCAAGCCGGGAATTCGTTAATATAACCACCGCCCTTTCCTTATCACAAGTGGTAAATCAGCCAACACGAGGCACAGCTGTCCTTGATCTCTTTTTTACTACTAACACTGAACTTGTAAGCGCAATTACATATTTAGAGCCGCTTAGTGACCACATCCCAATTAACGTTGTACTTTCAATTCCAATATTACGACGGCTGACCTTTAAGAAAATGATTTTTAGTTACCCGCGTGCAAACATAGATGCAATTCACCAATATATGTCTAATTTTGCCACTACGTTTTTTCGAGGGTTTCAAAGTAGAACTGTCGAAGAGAACTGGAGACTGGATAAAGGGGCTCTTATTGAGTCGTTAAACAGATTTGTGCCCAGGGTCTGCATTGCATCCAGTTCCCAGCAGCCCTGGTTTTCTGCTAAGCACACAAAGCTCCTTAGGAAAAAGAAACGCCTCTTCAGACTCGCCAAATCAACGGGGTCTCCGGATACTTGGATCAGATATCGCGAGAGTGCCTCACAATATAAGTACCAGATAAAAAACTCCAAGCATAAGTATTTTGATTGCGATCTCCAAAATCTACTCATAACAAACCCTCAAAAGTTCTGGTTAGCGATTCGGCCCCCCCCCCCCCCCCCCCAAGACAGATTACCTTCCAAGTTTATTGATCCCGACGGGAATGATCTAACCGAATTAGAAGCATGTGAAGCCATGAACCAAGCTTTCTGTAGTGTTTTCACAAAGGAAGAATTCCCATTACCTATGCCCATTTCACCCCATGAAGTTGTTCATGAAATGGCCAAATTCGACGTTTCACCAGCCGGCATTGAAAAACTAATAAATGATCTTCCATTCAATTCCGCCCCTGGGCCCGATAATATTTCAACTAAACTACTTAAGCTAACCAAAGAAGTGTCATGTGTTTTATTAACCAGTTTATTCAATCAGTCGTTGTACTCCTGTGACATACCAGTCGACTGGAGACATGCTAGAGTAACCCCAGTTTTCAAAAACGGTTCTAAAATGTGTATAACAAATTACAGACCTATTTTGTTAACGAGTGTACCTACTAAACTGATCGAGCATGTCATATATTCACAAATATTGAATCACTTGTCTTCCAATAATCTATTGTTTGCAAACCAGCACGGTTTTCGACGGTCTCTCTCATGTGAATCGCAACTTTTTGAATTAATTACAGATATTCATGAAAGCCTACATGCCAAGACAGATATTCATGCCATCTTCATTGATTTTTCAAAAGCCTTCGATAAAGTTCCCCACTGTCGATTGCTTCAAAAACTTCACTCTTTTCATATCGACAGAGGCGTTATAAATTGGATCGAATCATTTCTAACATCTAGAACACAGTATGTTTCTCTTCATGAACAGTCTTCTACGACCATGCAAGTAAGATCAGGTGTACCGCAGGGAACCGTGCTGGGACCATTATTATTTCTGATTTATGTTAATGATTTGTCTCTCTGTATAACCTCGACTCTAAGATTATTCGCAGATGATTGTGTGATGTACTCTAGAATTCATAATGTAAATGACTGTAGCACTTTGCAAAATGACCTTGTCAAGATCGAGTCTTGGTGTGGAAAATGGCAGATGGAGATTAATGTTCAAAAAACTAAGTTCATGGTCTTTAGTACTAAACGTGTTCCGACAAAATCTAATTATACTCTTTTCAACAACCCCATAGAGCAAGTGATGCACTATAACTACCTCGGAGTTTTCCTAAGCAGTAATCTTTCTTGGGAATATCATGTTAACCATATATCAGCCAAAGCTAACAAATCGCTTGGTTTTCTCCGACGTTCCCTCTACCTCGCATCTCAAAAAACTAAACTAACAGCTTATACCGCTCTAATACGACCCATTCTGAAATATGCTTCAGCCATCTGGAACCCTCACCAAGTCTTCTTAGAAAAAGAATTAGAGTCAATTCAAAATAAAGCAGCTCGTTTCATTTTGCGAAACTACAACTTCCCAGTAAGTGTAACCTCTCTAAAATCATCTCTACAGCTTCCTCTTTTGAAAGACCGTAGAACGTTAAACAGACTGAAATTGCTTCACAAACTTTTTATAACTCTCCATCTCGTAAGTCGATCTATTGTAAACCTGCTCCTTTTATCTCACGCCGACTTGACCACCCCTGCAAATTACACCTTGACATTCCCAGAACTAACCTTACAAGTTCTCGCCTCTTCAGCTTGCTATTAGTGACTGGAACCAACTACCCGAAGCCATTGTCACAATAATAGACCCACAGAAATTCGCCGATAATGTTGCCGTTCATCTCCATCTGTGATAATTTTCTTGTTTTATATTACTAGCGTTCTTTTGTTTTGACACTGTCCTGCCAAATGTCCCCCCCCTTTGTAATACCCCTCGTGGGTCTTAAGGGGAACCAATAAATGAAATGAAAATGACAGGTATCGTCACTCACGGCGCCGAAACTTAGTGTTCCCTTCGTGGTCGTCGCAACGCAGGTGAAGATTGTCACCATCTTGGTTTTCCAGTGGTATCCCTGCACTGCACGTTGGAGCACAATACTCCAGTTTTCAGCGAAATCAAAGTGGAGGACTACCACACGTGGCTTCACATTTGCTTTTTCAAGCCATATTGCTCTCTGTTGTGCGCGCCGAATATAATAGTGGAGTATGTATTTCTTCGTCCACTTGTTGAGTTCGTTAAGAAAAGCAGTGGCCTCCAAATGTTTTTTCACCAACTCGCCACCAGATTCCCACAGTGCCAACCCGTTCATCTTCAGCGCTCATCCCTAGCATCTCGAGGGATATGTCCTTCCGGTTCGAACAGGCTTCACATTTCAGCAAGAAGCAGTTTTGGGAAGGATTTTCACAAAGAAAAATTTTCTGGGCGTCTTCAGAGGTCATGGTCTTCCCCGCCGCATTTGACAGAGATGTCAGACAGAGTATGAAGTTGGCGCAGCATACGCACACACACTCTTCATGTACAGGGTGTTTCTTAACCCACTTGGGCCGAAGAGAATAAAATTTTCTTAGGCCCATTTTTGACTCGGGATTGGCCGCCCTGAATTCTTTGTAGGTTTCCCTAATAGATCTCATCATAAATCGCTTCGTGACGAAGACTTCCTGACCATCAATAAAAAGCCTTACGACATCCTTCTTGTTCGGGCTTTGTCTTGAGCAGTCTTTCGCATCTGATGTGTAGTAAGTCAACGCACAGCGACATCGTTTTCGTTGAGAGCATGTCCTTGGTACGGATCAGGTGACGCCCAGACCCCGTTTTTTTTCAGCTTTCTTGATTGGTCCAAAGCATGCTTCGTCACTTCAGGAATTGCTTTCAGGATATCTTTCTTTTTGAGGTTAGATGGAAAGAGAGTTAAGAGGCGGTAGCGTTCTAGCTGCGACGCGCTCTTGACGTAGGCTGCTCGTAAATTGCTGACCCAGTCGGAGCACGAGGAGCATGGATCTTCTTTGTCTGTGCCCGTAGGTTCTCCGTACACGTCACTTAGTTTACGACCAATTTTCTTTTTGAAGTCCGCGGTTATCTCGGATTTTTTTCGCTTAACATAGCCGGTACGACCTCGTGGGGTCACGCTAGAAGGGAGTTTAAATGGTGTCACACTTACTTCGGCAGCATCAATTGCCTCAGACACTCCTTGGACCAGGGCTTCCTCGTCAACGAATGATCTGTCCGCTGGTTTCAGGGATGATGACGATGAGCTTGATGACAACATTTCCTGTCCTTGCTTATGTTCTTCAATCTGACCCAAGAACATTGTGTAGCCGTTATTGCACAGAACATCTCCAGGGCTTACGCGCTGGGCGTCATCAGCCGGTAGAACTTGCTTAAGAAAACTTAGGTTTAGCTCCGAGACTTGACGAAAATGGCGTCCGTAAAACACTATTCTCTTGTGTCTCCTTGAATAGTCGGCGCACACTTTCCGGTCTGAACTGAATAATGTATTAGCCATGGCAGTAACGAACACTTCTGGCTTTCTGAAAGCAGGAGCAGTTTTAAGTTCATCCAGCTTTTCGCCGTGGCTTAGGAATTCAAGTAAAGAGTCAGAAAGGGACGGAGTAGGCTATTATCAGTTAAACGACGTGCGAAGATCCGGCTTCCTTTGGGTCCCCAATCTTCCCGTCGATCCATACTTAAACATTCGCTCTCCGCCTCACGCGTAATCTGAGTGTCACGCAGCAGCGGCGTCTCTTTTAATGCCCGCGGATTAGTGGCACGGTTGTGTTAGAAGGACGAGGAGGGGAGCTTGGAGAGACAGAGGGGGGCTTGCGACGTAAACTCTAACCTCGAAACGCCTGTTCTCCCGACAATCAGGGTTTCCGTGTCGGTTGCATCCAAAGGCATAATCCTTAGAGGCTCCAGGACCCCGACGAAGATAGAGGCGGTAGCCCCGTGATGTTCAAGATAAAGGATTCTATACACGCCGCCTGACTAGGTAGGCATCTGTAAAATTTCGGAGCCGAAAGCAGAAGGCCTCAGAGGACTTCTCTAACGATCTGCATTCCCCCGTATTGGGAGAAAAAGATGCGCTCGCACTTGTGTATACGGACTTCTAAGTAACTTTTTTTTAAGAGCACTACTGAAAATTTTTTTAATGTTTATGGTTGGATATTAGGTAACTGCTAACGATAAATAGAAAACCTTATGTACGCCAAAATTCTGCTCAGCTGAGCGCCTGTGCGAAGTCCCGTTCAAAACGCTCATAGCACGAGATTAGAGTCTTAATAGCGGCCATACAAACAATATATTACAATTTCTGTTGGTGGTTCCTGATAGACTACTATATTAACTAACTGTGAATAAAAAATGAAAAAAATAAAAAGTGGTTTTTTTTAGAAAATCTACTTCAAACTTGCTAGTTTTTCGAAATTTTCGTTCTTCAGGCACACGTAGCGCATTATATACTTGTTGCAAAATATTGAAATTATACTCAAAAGAAAGAGCATAATTGGTGCTTTACGGTGATATAAAGATCATAAAAATATATTGATTAGGTCACACAGCACAGCTTGCTGAACTTCGTCAAATATCGTCACAGAGAGGCGGTTTGACAAATAAAAAAAAATCATTAAGAATTTCATGACCTAGACGCTTAATTAGCATGAAAAAGCCTATGTCTAGGGTGTTCCCCCTAATCAAAAAGTTATATTGATGTAGCGTAAAAAGTAAGGAAAAGGGATGGAGTGAAATATGGCACCTCCGATAGGCTGGAAAAACATCAATTTCCACCTTGACCGCTTCAACGGTCCATAACTTGAGAACAAAAAATTCGACAAAATAACCTTTTGCGTCTTCTTTTATTATAGGAATTGCCCCAAAACATATATTTTTTTTTGTCAAAATTAAAAATTCGACCCTAAATCCGTGCCTGAGTTGAGATGAAACCACCCATATATATATGTTGGAA